CTGGCCAATCTCAGAAACACCTGGCTCCTGGCCAATCTCAGAAACACCTGGCTCCTGGTCAATCTCTTCTCCGTCAGGAGACACCTGAGGCATTGCCAAAGAGGAGGGTCCTGGAGAGGGAGGCCTGGCCATCTCCTCTCCTTCATGTTCGGAGCCTTCTTCCTCCGATAAGAGGGGCTCACAAGACGGAGCCACAACAGATGCATTGAAGGAAGTCATGGTGGAAGAGGCTGCCAGAGGGGCAATGAAGAGTCTCCGGCCACCTAAAACACACACCAGCCCCACAGCGATCGACCAAGAGACTGCAGAAGGCTCGGGGGAGGCCAGTGAGAGTGAAGAAATTGATTGTTTGTGGAGAGAGCCACCCACACAGCCACGCTCCACAGAGCAAGCAACTTCCACACAGAGCTGCGTAAGCTGTGGGGGACAGCATGAAAGAGCAGAGTGCAGATTCCGCACAGCAGTATGCCATGCCTGTGGAAAGCAAGGGCACCCTTGCCAGAGTTTGCAGAGGTCGTCAGCAGGAAACTAAACCTGCAACACAGCAGCACGAGGGGAAATGGCCCCCAGGACAGAACAGAGTTGAATACTGCTCAGGAAGGCGTAGCATCCAACACACAGGGGCCCAACGTTCCATCAAAGAAAAGATAAGACTCCAACTAAGACTGCAAGGGGTCCCATGCTCCATGGAGCTAGATACTGGATTGGCCCTGTCCATTATCTCCTCCAGGACTTTCGACCACATTTGCAAATGTAGCCGATGGCAGGTCCCACTCAAATCATCGAGCTTAGTGCTATCGGACTTCCAGAATTGCCGTGTTCCCATAAGGGGGGAAGCTACCATTAGAGTACAATTCAGAGAGTTCAAGGGTCCCCTCAGTGTAGTGGTCATAGAGGGACCGTGCACCAACCTCATAGGACTGGACTGGTTCAAGGCCCTGGGCATCAGGGTGACGGGCATCCATCGAACACAAATAGCTGATATAGCAGCAGTATGCCAACAATATGCTGACATATTCAGCAGAGTTGGGACAATACAAAGGGGCGCCCATTTCACTCAACCTCGATCCAGCAGTAACTCCAATCCGATTAAAACCGCGCAGGGTTTTTTTTTTGCATTGAAGCCAAAAATTGATGTGGAACTAGACAAGCTGGTACAGCAGGGAGTGCTCCAACCGGTGGACTGCAGCCAGTGGGAGACTCCAATAGTGACCCCAGTTAAGCCTAACAGGGACGTCCGCATCTGCGCAGACTACAAGTGCACTACAGCAACATGCTTACCCTGTACCAGTACTGAGCCACATCCTCGCTTCGCTCCAGGGAGGCCGAATCTTCGCTAAGTTAGACCTCGCCCAGGCTTACCAGCAGCTACCGGTAGACGACACTACCGCAGAAGCACAAACAATCGTCACACACAGAGGTGCATTCCGAGTGCACCGCTTGCAGTTTGGGGTAAGCGTAGCACCAGGGTTGTTCCAAAGTATTATGGAACAAACACTGAAGAACATTCCCGGCGTCTGCCCGTATTTTGATGACATCCTGATCGCGGGGGAATCAGCGGCAGTCCTGGCGGAACGTCTCCGTGCAGTACTCCAACGTTTCCGCAAGGCAGGCCTAAACCTCAAGAAGGAAAAGTGCCAGATCGGCATGGAATCCACAGAATTCTTGGGTTTCCACATCGATGCTGCCAGAATCCACCCATCTGACACAAAGCTAAAGGCAATTCAGCAAGGCCCCACACCAAAATCCAAGGGGGAGCTACAATCATTCCTGGGCTTGCTCAATTTTTACCACTCCTTCTTACCACATAAGGCTGCCCTGGCAGAACCGCTACACCGCCTACTGGAGAAAAAAAATGCCCTGGGGCTGGTCGCGCACCCAAGACAAAGCGTTCAAGGCGGTAAAATCATTGTTATCATCAGACTCCGTCCTAGCTCATTTCAACAAAAACCTACCAGTAACACTAGCCTGTGACGCTTCGCCATATGGCATTGGGGCAGTACTAAGCCACAGGATGCCAGATGGTAGAGAGGCCCCCATCGCATACTATTCTAGAACGTTATCATTGGCTGAAAGAAACTATGCCCAGATAGACAAGGAAGCCCTCGCCATAGTGGCTGGCATTAAGAAGTTCCATGACTTCTTATATGGACGAACCTTCACCATCTTTACAGACCACAAACCTCTGCTTGGTCTCTTCACAGCAGACAAACAGACACCGCAGATCCTGTCGCCGTGACTGCTATGATGGTCCATTTTCATGGCTGCATACTTGTACCGGCTAGTCTACAAGCCGGGTAAGGAAATGGGCCACGCCGATGCTCTCAGCTGACTGCCTCTTTCGCAGACTGATCCGGACCCAACCCCAGCTTGTCGTATCCTGGCGATCCAGGACCTGCCTGAAGCACCCCTACATGCAGGGGACGTTGCAGCTGAAACCACCATGGACAGAACGCTTAGCCACGTTCTCAACTGGGTGTTAAGACAGAACGCTTAGCCACGTTCTCAACTGGGTGTTAAGGGGATGGCCAGAGACCCGGCCAGGCCCTGAGTTCCATCACTACACTTCTCGGAAAAATGAACTGTCGGCCCACAAGGGATGTGTGCTGTGGGGCAGCAGGGTCATCATTCCACCCAGTCTTTGCTCCAGGGTGCTGGATTCCTTATACGAGGGACACCCAGGAATTGTTTGAATGAAGGCTCTAGCCAGGAGCTACTTGTGGTGGCCAGACCTGGACAAGGACATTGAGAATCAAGTAAGGAGTTGCCAGGCATGCCAAGAAACCCGACCGGAGATGCCACAAGCACCCGTGGCTGCCTCCGGGGAAACGGAGGTATGAAGGGCCGTAGAGCTTCCACCACTCACGGGCGACCTAATCGGCCATCACAACTCTGTTCAACTGGAGATGGACAATGCTCCACTTGAACAGGACTCTCCAATAACATTGCAGCAGTCCACCAGGATCCGCGGGGCCCCGGCCTATCTCAATGACTATGAATATTGAACAGACTGAGGATGATAACTATCCTAGGGGAAAGGGGTGTTATGTATTGAATATATATAAAGTGTGTTAATCCCTGCTAAAGTGAAACTAACTTAACTCCAACTGCTTGTGGAGCTAAAATGAAACTAACCTTTAGATGACCCTGACTGTTAACTCCAACTGTTTTGGAGGGAAGCTTTGAACATTCATATTTGGGTGGGTTTTTCAAGTATTGTGATTGGTTAAGGCCCTGTGGGCTCAGAGTATAAATTACAGGCAATTGCCTGCAGTACTTTAGTTCTAGTTTGAGTCAAACTAGAGTCAAACTAGAGTTTGACTTGAGTTTAGCCTCCGATTGGACTAGTTCAGGCGGGCCAATGGAGGCAGGTCTTGAGTACATTTTGTGGGAAGAGTTTGATCCTGTGACCCCCGAGGACATGGACAGGATGTTGGGACGGCTGAACACCACCACATGTTTACTGGACCCGTGTCCCTCCTGGCTGGTACTGGCCTCCCGGGAGGTTACACGAGGCTGGCTCCAGGGAATTGTCAATGCTTCTTTGAGTGAGGGGTTCTTGCCGGCCGCCTTGAAAGAGGCGGTGGTGAGGCCCCTCCTCAAGAAGCCCTCCCTGGACCCGGCTGTTTTGGCCAACTACCGTCCTGTCTCCAACCTTCGCTTTCTTGCGAAGGTTGTTGAGAGTGTGGTGGCACGACAGCTCCCTCAGCACCTGGAAGAAACTGTCTATC